CGAGACACACACGGGGCCGTTAGCGCCGCCGCCGCCGCCTGCTCCGGCCTCTCCCGGCTCCCTTCCCAGGGGACACCCCCGGCTCCGCTGTTTGGGATGCTCGGGAGAAGCGAGCGCCGCCCCAACACAAGTCCCGCTGCAGGGATTGATCCTCACGGATGTTCCCTGCTCCTGCCGCCACCCTCCGGTGGCCTCCAGCTCCAGAGGGAACCCTATGGCAATTCCACAGCGCGCGGGACCCGCTCCCGGCCCCGCAGCTGCATCCGGAATGGGCGAAGCCCACGGAGATGCTCCAAGGAACTGCCAGCAAACCTGCACGTATCCCCTTCCGCAGGGATCCCAAGGGCGCTTCCCGGCGGAGCGGGAGCCTGGCTTTGCCACCCGCCGCACACATCCCGCCGGAGGAGGATCCCAGCGCGCGACGGAGCCTCTCGGAGCCCGACCTCTGCGCCTGGCTCCGGCCCAGCCGCCTCCCGGGATTTCCCAACAGGAGGAAAGTTCTCCGGCAGGGAAACCACGGCCCCTTTCATCCGCTCCCCGCCGGGGCCGGGCAGCCCTCCCTGGCACCTCCTGCCGTTGCTTTTTTGGGAGCAATCCAGATCCCAGCTCCTATTTCCCGACCTGCTATTCACCCCAGCCCAGCTCAGAGCAGCTCTGCCGATCCCGGCGCCCGCAACACGTCCCAACCTCAGCTGCTTTTCCCGAAATGCCCCCCGATGCCGGCGTTCCACCCCAAAATCATTTTTCCCAAGTTTCGCAGCCGCGCGCTCGCCCCGATGCCGCGCGCCGGCGCCTTCCCGCGCTTTCACATTCCCGGCGCTATTCCCGGGCTCGGCCCGGGGCGTTTGCCAGCGCCGGGATTAGCAGCGCGAGCCCCAGCGCCCGGGACGAGGAGCGGCGCCTTGTGCAAGAGGAGGCGGCGACCGCGGGACGTGCCCGGAGCCGCCCGCTAAAAATACTCCCTGCAAACACCAAGGGGGGTTTTTCCCCCCTTTTTTTTCGCCGTCAGCAGCATTTTCCACGCGTTGCAATTCCGGTGTCCCAGCAGCCTCTCCCTGCCAGGTGCTGCCGGGTTTTAAGGGCTGCTTAAGAGCTAAACCGGCCGTGTTTTGCAATGCTCCGACAGCTTCGCTGCTGCGTTTGGGGTTTTTTCCCCCCAAAAAAGGCTCCGATGGGCACGGGGAAATAGCAGCTCTGAATTTAGCCCGCTCCCGCGTGAGAAACATCCATAAATCCATTAATTTAAAATAGATGCATGCAACGGGCAGGAGTGCTTTTGCACTGCAAATTCGGACCGAGGTTATTTCGAAGGGACAAACCCGGCGCTGCAGTCACTTCACTCCAGCCCCGCTCGGACACAGCAACAATGTCCGGCTTTTCCAGGAGGGATTTCGGCTCCCGGAGAGGTCTGGAGCACTGCCGACCTCCCTGGAAAGGCAGGCTTCCGAATCCATGCAAAGGAGCCCGGTCGCTTCCAGGGAAAAGGGGAAAAGCTCTTGGGAGAACTCGCTGCAAAATGCAGCTTAATGAGTGTTTTAGGCCGCTTCTCTGGGAAAAGCGGCAGCGGGAAAGCCGGGCGCGGAGGGGTTAAGCGGCAGAGGTCAGGAAGGAAAAGGCGGCAGCTCCCTGCAAGCCGGGGG